CAGTTCTGTGATTTCTGATGGGTGCCTGAACTCTCAGACACAGACTATGAGACCCTGGCCACCATAACAGTCCCAGGGAATGAGGGGCCATAGCCTGACGCCTCCACTCACACATAAAATACCCTTGCCACCCAAGGGCAAAAACAGCACCTCACACCTACGAGGACCTGAGAGAGCTAGAAGTCTGTTTCACACTCTGAGCAAAATCCCCCACCCAGATGTTAAAAGGCAAGAGGACAAGGAGGGAGTTGAAGACTCAAAAGCCACTATGGTTGGAAAAGAAAACCAAAGAAAACAATCTGTGGACGGTTAACCCACCTGCCCACAAAACAGCCCCTAAAAGAGGACCCATGAGGTATGGTGGGGCTCAGCCAATTTTCACAAGTTCAACCATTCAACACTCAAGGTTTCGCCCCTCCTGACAACCACCCCTAGAGCTTCATGCCGGGCACTACAATTAGGTGAAAAGACAGTTTGGGTGCAGAATCTCATTTGATTTTTACAAAAACCTTAGGAGGATGCAGGGCAGGGATTCATATCCTCACTTTATCATAGAAATGGAGGCTTAGAGGGGTCAAGTGATTTGCCAAAGATGGTCCAGTAAGTGAGCATGCTGTCCAACTCCATCTTGGGCTTTATATGAAATGGCTTAATAGAAAAGACTGGAACCCCTACCGTTAAAACACATCGAGTAGCAGCACCTAATAACAGTGGCCGATCAACAAAGATGCAGATGAAACTGTTGGTCAAAACAGTACATTCTTCCTAAAGCTGGAGCACTTAGGAAGATTAGAATGTCTAGTGTTAACCAAGGGAGGCTCTCCATAAGCAGTGCTGAATATTCTGCAGAAGGGGGAAGAGAAGGCACAAAGAAGGCCAAATAACTCCACATTCCCAGGACTCTGTCGCCACTCTCTGACTGCCATCTCCTGGAGAGCTGTGCCTGGCTGGGATCCCCAAACAGAAATCACCTGTTGGCCTGTGTGAGGAAACAGCCTACCTCAGACATGTCTCTGTGGATTGACAGGGCATGGCCTAGTGCCTAGCACACAGTGGGTACACAGTAAATTTTTGTTGACTGGAGTTAGCTGTTAAATATTTGCTGACTGAGGCACAGACAGGTGAAGTCACTCTTCCAAGATTACACAGCCAGTAAGTAGCAGAAGTGAGATTCAATCCAAGTCAACATTCAGCACTTAACCCTCTTTGCTTTCCCCTCCACCACACAGCCTCTTGCCTCAAGGACCAGAATAATGTTGTTTTCCCATCCTATTCCTTGTAACTCCCAACACAATGTGTGCCACACAGTAGGCTCATAAGAAAGTTTTGTTGAATGAAACTTAGCAGTCTGTCCCAACACTGAGCCTGGGGAGTTTCCTTACTAAACCACATGCCGTGGTGGAAAGGAATTGGAGGGATGGGCTAAGTCAGGAATAGGGAGGAAGGGGCCCTGGACACAGAGCAGTGGCCAAGGCTGAGGATTGGGGTAAAGGGTGGGGAGGAGGCACACCTCATTGGTCCCCACACGATCCCTGAAACCCCAACCTCGACCCCAGGCCACCCCAAGCCCTGCACAACCTGACAGAGGCAGCCATACTTCTGTTCTGCCATCTGTCCTCTCCACCTGGAAGTCTCTTCTCTCCCTCTTTACCTGGTTACCAACCCAAATCACGCAGATTTCAGCACACCTCCTCCTGGAAGCTTTCTTGGCCTTCCTTACCAGGTAAAGCCCCCAATAAAGGCTTTCATGGCACTTATCACAGTTGCAACTCTGCATTTTATTTGAGTGACTATTTAATTCCCATCCATCTCCCCTTCTAAGCTGCAAGCTCCTGGTGGAGGTAGAGGGGGCTCTCCTTTGCTCACTGTGTTTTCCCAGAATCCTGAACGCTGTCTGGCACTGAGGAAATGCCCAGTGATGCTGTGCTGAATAAGGGAATGACTGAATGAATAGAGATGAATGTTGACACTAGAGTACCCTCTGTGGGAGGATGAAAATGGCCCCCCAAAAGATATCCAGACCTAGTCCCTTGAACCTGTGAGTGTTACTTTATATGGAAACAGTGTCTTTGTATCTTGTGATTAAATTATGGGTCTTGAGATGGGGAGATGAAGTCAGCCTAGATAATTAAAGTGAGCCCTAAATGCAATCGCATTGATATTATTAATAAATGTGTTTGGTATAAGAAGGAGGCAGGGAGAGATTACACACACACACACACACACACACACACACACACACACGAGAAGGCAGTCCACCAGGAACTGAAAGAGGCAAGGAATACATTCCTTCCCAGAGCACATTTCAGCCCTGCCAGTAGCTTGATTGCAGCCCAGGGAAACTGATTTCAGACCCTCCAGAACCAGGAAAGAATCCATTCCGTCATCTTAAGCCACCCGGCGTGTGATAATTTGTTATAGCCATGGGAAACAAATATACCTGAGCTCCAAAACCCTCCTCACCCTGACCCCCAAAACCCTCCTGCCTTCTCCATGTCTAAGCATCTCAGGTTTGGCCAGAAGGAATAATCTAAAATAATCTGAAATAATTTTAAAAGGAAAAAAGGAGGATCAAGAAGAAAGAGATGAGAGGGTACATGCAGGGGGATGGTAATTTACTCAGAAGCTGCAGGAAAAAGAGCCCTATGTCCATGGCTCCCTCACCTCTCCTCCAGGGAGTACTCTCCAGAAGTGGGGGAGGCTGAGAGTTCTCAAGTCCCCTGTCTGTCTGTCTGTCATCTGTCTGTCTATCTGTCAGCCACTAGCCATGATCCCCATGAAGGAGCCAGCCCTCACCCAGGTGGGCCTCACTTACCAGCCAGGCACGCCCCTACCTGGAGGCCTGACACTTGCTGTTCCCTTTGCCCACAACACCCTTCGTCCAGACACCCACATAGCTCATTCCTCACCTCCTTCGGGTCCTCCTTCTAAGCTCACCTACTGGGGGAGGCCTGCTGCCCACTCTATTTAAAATGGAGATGGAGGCCAGGTGCGGTGACTCACACCTGTAATGTCAGCACTTTGGGAGGCTGAGGCAGGTGGATTGCTTGAGCCCAGGAGTTCAAGCTCAGCTCAGGCAACATAGGAAGACCCTGTCTCTATAAATAAATCTAAAGAAAAAAAGGAAACAAATGGAGGTGGGGGAGGGAAAGGGAAAAAAGGCACCCCTCCCATTCCCTAAACCCCTTGCTTACTTTATTGTTCTCGGTGGCGCTTATCACTGTCTGACATACTATATATTTCTCTCATTTATTGACTCTTGGCATCTGTCTCCTGCTGCCACAATGAACACTCCATGTGGCAGAGTTTTGTTTGCTTTGTCTGCCTCGAATGAAGCCTGGTATGTGGCAGGAAATCAACAATTATTCAAGAATAAACACTCTCACAGGGCCTGTCTCCAGGAAAATGGAAGCGCTGGGGTGAGCACTGTCAGGTGGGAGCAGATGGGAGCAGGATGATAAAGTCTCTGCTTCAGAAGCCACCAGCCCAGCCACATCTTCTGCAGATTCTCTGTGCCAAATGCAAACCCTGTCAGGTCACAGCATTGCTTACACTTCCTAGTAATTTTCATTCCCACAGATCCCACCCCTGGCTTCCTTGGGCTATGGGCCTCCCACAGGGGGAACTGGCAGCACCCGAACACCTGCCAGTAGTCCCCCCAAAGTTGGTTCTTTGCTGGCAGTCTTGCAACTGGCCTACTGCTGAAAATGTCCCACTTGCTGCTCTTTGTCTGTGGCTGGTGTGCATGGGACTGGCAGGAGCAGTCAACATGGAGTAGTTAGAGTCAGACCTGGGCTTATGAGCCAGCTGCACCACTTACGGAGTTACCTTGGGAAAAGCACATAACCTAAGGCTCAGTTCCCTCCTCTGTAAAATGGGAAGAGAACACGCAATTCAAGCAAATTCTTGCTTGAATTCATAGAATTCTATCTCACACAGAATCAGAGGAAGTACCTTACGTTTCCTTTCCCCCACTCTTTCTAACTAAACATTCTCTAAGACAAATGTATCTTTTCTGTTTTTGTCCCCAGGCGCTTAGCACAGTGCCTGACACAGGGACTACTCAATGAATGCCTGCAGATTTGAGCTACTGACCCAAGAAGAAGATGTGGCAGTTATGAACTTTGTCACCAAACTGGGATCTCAGAATTGCTGTGCAACTGACTTATGCTTTAATATGTGGTGACCACAGTTGGCCTAGGGAGAAGACTTAAGTGGAGAGGAGGAAGTAATTTTGAGTCTGGAGCTCAAGAAAGTGGCGTAATAGCAACAGGCTGGGACCAAGCACCAGAAATATCTCACTTTGTGTGTGGACAGGAAGCCTCTCCTGGGACCAGTGGATGGGTGAGTACCCAGTGATCATGTGGAAACCCTTCTGTTAAATTATAAATGTAGACACATGTAGTGATCCCTTACCAGAATTTCACGATCCTCAGCATCTATTTACTTCAGCTTTCCAAAGTTAGGCTGGAAATTTCTACAATGTGCAACAGTAAGCATGAGTCACCTCTTTGAAACTTCATACTGTGCATCAAGTGTTGATCAAACTGTATATTTCTGTATACATGTGTATGGGTTTTGAACACATTTAATAATTAAAGTTTATTTATTTATTTTTTTTTTTTGAGACAGAGTTTCACTCTTGTTGCCCTGGCTGGAGTGCAACGGCACAATCTTGGCTCACTACAATTTCCACCTCCTGGGTTCAAGCGATTCTCCTGCCTCGGGCTCCCAAGTAGCTGCAATTACAGACATTTGCCACCAAGCCTGTCTAATTTTTTTTTTCTTTTGTATTTAGTAGAGACAGGGTTTCACCATGTTGGTCAGGCTGGTCTTGAACTCCTGACCTCAGGTGATCCACCCACCTCGGTCTCCCAAAGTGCTGGAATTACAGGTGTGAGCCACTGCACCCAGCTAGTTTAAAATTTTTTTGTATGTAAAAATGGCCTCACCATACACAAGAACTAGAACAATGCTCACAAGAAATGCCAATTTTTTTTATGGTCCTGGTAATTTTCCACTGGAATTTTGGGGTGTCCTTAGAAAAGAGGCCGGGGAGGAGAGAGGGACAGGTTAGTGAAGACAGAAAGGAGGTTGGCTACGGACTATCAGAGATATCAGCAGGACCTCCCCCATCAAAATCACCTAAATGTTGGCCTGTTTAAAAGAGCTTGGAAAAGGAGGTGAGAAGAACATCGCCTGTCTTGTTCTTTTGTCCCAAAAGGTCAGATCGCCACAGAATGAATCTGGGGGTAAGGTGTGAACCCGCTAGGCTCTTGAGATAGCTCTTCTTCTCTGACTTTCGTTTTCTTATAAATTATAAAACTTCCACTATCCTCAGGACTACAGAGCTTCCCTCTCCATGCCCTCCTCCCACACATCCTCTGCTGGGCACTTGTACACCCTTACCATTCGCCATTCCTGGCTGGCCTCCAATTATCATTTCTTGTACTCATCATTAATTCTGTGAAACAGGAAAGACTGTACTTCTACCATGTCCTGGGAAGAGTGCTGGAAGGGAAGCATGTAAGTAGAATGACAGGAGCTCCCTGAAAAGATTCTAGGGTTCCACTGGGGGCAGTGAGACCTCCTGGAACCTGGGGGACAAGGAGAAGCAGCTTCTCACTGTGAGCTGCTGTAGACATGCTTGGCCTAGCAGTGAACAGAAAGGAAACCCAATTTATAGGAAAAATGACAGCAGCATGTATCTATAAGAATATAACACCTTAGAGTTTATAAAACACATTAGATCCGAGCTGTTTCTTCTCATATTATAATGAAGTTACCTACTGAAGTCTAAATACCCTAAAAGTGCATGAGCCTGATAAGGCCAATGTCTTACTAATTTTTGGATCCTACCATGCCTAGGCAAGGGTACTTAACAAATTCTTGCTTGAATTCATCCTCTCAACAATGCTGATAGGTTGAAAGAAGTGGTATTATCCTCCTTTTGTAGCTAAGAAATCTGAGACCTGGGGAATTCGTGACTTGCCCAAAGTTACAGATGGCAACTGACAGACCTGGGGCTTGAACCTCAGGCTTAGGTCTTCCCACTGAGCACTGTGGCTGCTGCCAGAGACAGGGGAGAATGTAGAGCTTTAAATCCTTGAAGCTGAGAAGCTGTAATTCAAGGGTTTACAAGACATTTCTGCATGGCAGAGTAGTGATCAGGATTTGTCTTTCATGGGAGCCTCCCCTGTATCGGGTGAACCTTCTTGGTCTTGTAAATATAAGTACATGTATGCCCATTGTTCTGGAAGACATCCTAGACATCTGTGATGGGCCCAAGACAGAGGCCTCAGACTGAAGCGTTACCAGTTTCATTTAGCAATGCCAGTGGAGTATGTCCTTAGCAGAACCAGGCCCCTGAGGAGCTACAGAAATGGTTTCCCTAAGTCTCAGTTTAGGCTGTCCCAGCCTAAATATCATTGTCCGTTGTCCAGGTATTGTCTGGGCAGGAGGAGCAGGCAGACCTAGTCTCTTCCCTGCTGGGGAGGAAGGACTGAGTGTGGACACAGGCCCTGGATTGGGCCCGACTTGCCACTATCTGGGCCGCACAGCTGCTGGCCCACCTGCAGTGTTATTTAAGGCTGAGGCAGGCTTAAGGCAACTAGCCCTATGTGAGCCATTGGAGCCAGATTATACCTTCAGGATGCGGCTAGGAATTTCTCTTGAAAGACATTGATGTTCTTGTTGTGAATCATCTTGAGGTAAAAAGTTAAAAACAAAACAAGGTGGTCTTTGGGCAGGAAGACGAAGACCTCTCCTCTTTTTTATGTGCAAGAAGGGTGTTCAGAGAGGTCTAGATACTTCTAAAGGCAGGAAGTTCACCGGCCTCTCCCTGCCACCAACACCGCCAGAAGCTTAAGGAGGGTTTGCAAAATGTGGCTGAACTGGTGGGTGCCCTGAAACTACTGCTTTGAGCAGTTGTAACCAACTATCTCTTTGGTACTTTTGTTATTTGAGAGCTTCTGACAGCATTTTTTTTACTTTTTTCTTTCTTTCTTTTTTTTTTTTTTTAAAGACAGGGTTTCACCATGTTGGCCAGGCTGGTCTTGAACTCCCGACCTCCGGTGATCCGCCTGCCTTGGCCTCCAAAGTGCTTGGATTACAGGCGTGAGCCACCACGCCCGGCCTGACAGCATTTTTTAAATGTGCTGGGCCTGTGTCCACACTTCAGACAAACAGCTGCAGCTCAGAGGCCGCCACCATAAGACACTCAGAGGTGAGCTGCAAGCCCTCTAGGATGGCTCTGGAATTGGAAACCCAAGAGCAGATGGACTTCCTGCATTTGTGGGATGGGAGTTCAAACTGTTGTTATTTTAGAATTAAGGGGAAATGACACCCTTAAAAAACTAGAGAAGTCAAGGCCATCTGGGCTGCAGAAGGAAGACATGACTGTCTCTTGAAATGACACGAGATATTTCTGTCAATGTTCTGTTCCTAACTTCTTGCATCCCAAGTTCACAAAGCAATGACAATGGACTAAGTTCATGACCAGTGACAATGGACCAGATCCACAGCCTTCCTGACAAGGTGATTTTCTTAAAATCATTCTGGGGGAGGGAGGTGTCCCCAATACAGCCAAAGGCCCCAGTTGTCCCAAGATGGTGCAGTGGGCCTCAGCACAACATAAAACCCAGAGTGAGGCCAAACATATGCAAGCCATGAGAGAAATGGGCTAGATCCCCCTAGTCAGCATGCTTTTTGCTGAATGTTTCTACAGACTGCACTCCCTCTTACTTGAGAAGCCATTACCAGTTATCAGAACACTTTGGTGTCTGGCTTTACAACAGCCCAGATTCCAATCTTGCCAACAGCTAATACAGGCAAAGGGACAGGTCCCTGGGCACACAGCTGTTAGTGACCAAACTGGGGCTAGAAGTAGATCTTTTGGTTTTGAGGTACACAGCCTCCTCCCACCTTGGGTAATGACCAAGAACAGTGTCCCAGACAGATGATAGGAATGAGAAGCCTCTTAGCCCCAGCTCTGCTGATTCAAAGGAATTAGCAGGGACATTCCCTCACCTGGGAGATCAGTACTTCTTCCCCTTCCTCCTAAACTGATGGGCATGACCTCAAGCAGTCTTCACAGTTCCACAAACTTAGCTGCTGTGGTTTGATAGCCAGAGTTGAACTCCGATCTGGAGACCAAAGTTTTCATTCTGTCACTAACCAATGAGGTACCCTTGCTAGTCACTTTCATGCTCTAGGCTTCCTCTTCTATCTAAAATGCAAATCTGCCATGTCCCTCTCCTGCCTAAAACTCTTCACTGAAGCCTTTCACCCAGCTAAAGTTCCAGGAACTCCCCATCCAAGCCTGAGCCACCACACAGAGTCGAGAGGAATGTTGAGAATGAGGTTTTGTCCCTTCTGAGCTCTTTGGTGCTCCTCCAGGAGGGAGCCAGGCAGAAGTGAAGGGATGTGGACACTAATTAGGTTCGGCCGCTGGAGACTCTTCCCAGGGCTGTTGCTGGAGCTGGGCGAGCCCCTCACTGTCCATCTGCAATTCTCCTTGACCCAACGACTACCAAGTTTCCTACCCACACAGTTTCTTTCTCTCTGTCTCTGTCTCATGGTCGGTACCCTCTGTGTCTCTCTCCCTGTTATGTGCAGCTCTGACACAGTGATCACAAGTCCTGGAACTTCCCTACTCGCCAGTCCAGGGACCGAAACTGCAAGTTGTGCTCGTTAGCACACTCAAGCATACTTCCTACCCACTCAGATGCCCACCCGACTCCCCAAGGATGCCCATTGGACAGCATCATCCTGAAGACCAAGATGAAGTAAAATGAAAATAAGACAGTGGAACCACCCGGAGCCCAAAATCTGCCCTAGAAATTTCCCAGGGTAGCCACAAGGGCAAGACGTTCACCCAGCTCTACCCACAGGTTCCCTGGGCGTGCCACATCCCTCTACCCTCTGCAACACTCTCAGCCCTCAGCTGTCCCTCCTCCCATGGCCCCCCCTTTCTCTCAGCCCCCATTCTCTCTCTCAATCACTTGATGTTTGTCTCTTGCAAGAACTCTTCCAAGATTCAGAAGCGCACTCTTCACATGTAGTAAAAGCATGAGCTCTGGAGTCAAACAGGCTCCTAGCTCTGCTGCTTACTGACTAAATGACATGGACAAGTGACTTAGACTCTGACCTCATTTTCCCATCTGCAAAATACTGATAATGATGCTCATCTTACTGAGTGGTTGTAAGGATTAAATGAAATAAGGTTTGCAGATTATTCAGGGTAGTTCACACTAGCTGCTATGAAAAAAAATTCACAATCTCAGTGGCTTGATAAGATAAGCGTTTACTCCTCACCCAATCAATAGACTGATGCAAACTGGGTGTCTTTTCTGCACAGCTGTCCTCCAAGAGGTGATTCAGGGACCCAAGCTCCCTCTATCCCCTTAGAATCCTCCACTGGACACCTCCAGCTGACTGGCAGAATAGCAAAGACAGAGTTAGCACCCAGGCCTGGAAGTGGCACCCATCAACTCAACTTTACATTTCTTAAAAGCCAGTCACATATTCTACTTAACTGCAAGGGGGACCGGGAAATATAGTTGCCCTATGTGCCCAGGAAGAGGAACTGTGATTGCTAAGCATCTGGCCATTCTCTGCCACAACATGTAAAGTATTTCACTCAGCGCCTGATAGGTCATAGAAACTCAGTAAATATTAATAGAAGACACGGCCAGATGTGGTGGCTTACGCCTGCAATCCTAGCACTTTGGGAGGCTGAGGCGGGAGGATCGTTTGAGCCTAGGAGTTCCAGACCAGCCTGGGCAACATGAGGAAACCTCATCTCTACCAAAAAAAATTTAAAAATTAGCTGGGCCTACTTACCTGGCAGGGGAGATACTATGATCACGAAGGTGGTTTTCCCAGGGTGAGGCTTATCCATTGCACTCCGGATGTGCTGACCCCTGCAATTTCCTCAAATGTGGGAAACTTGACTGCATAATTTGTGGTAGTGGGCGACTGTGAAAAAGAAAAAAATAATATAAAATAAAACAATAAAAAAAAATTAGCCGGGCAAGGTGGCCTGCAGCTGTAGTCCCAGCTACTCAAGAGGCTGAGGTGGGAGGATCGCTTGAGCCTCAGAGGTGGAGGCTGCAGTGAGCCAAGATCATGCCGCTGCACTCCAGCCTGGGTGACAGAGTAAAACCTTGTCTCAATCAATCAATTAATCAATCAATAAAAATGAAAAAAAAAAATTTTAAAAGAGCAGATGCTATAAAAATTGCTTCCTAAGTCTCTCTACTGGCACGAATAGTAGAATTCACAGAACCTTAGTGTGGACTTTTCAGAATACTGAATACACAACAAAATAAACATGTGAATTCCGTGTTTATTTTTCTTTCTTTTAAAGGATAGTAATCACATACCTAACATTACTCCTATGCTGGGTGCTCTCCACGGGGCAGCAGGATACATTGGAATAGCCTGCATTCAAATCCTGGCTCTGCCCTGAGCAAGGTATTAACCTGTGTTAGCCATTGTGGTTTTCCCGTTTTAAAACAAGAATTCCAGTTTACCCACATTCCAGGGTTCTTAAAAAATGCCATATTCCCTCATTTCCAAGTATCCATTTCCTTCTGTCTGGAAAACCCTCCCTAACCACTCTCCATTAGCTACCTCCTACTCCTCCCTCAAGTCTTGACTTAGCTGCCACCTTCTTCAGGAAGCTTTCCTTCTCTTCTACCCCAAGTGTGGTTGAATGCCCGTGTCTTTTATCCTCATATCAGCCTGTACTTGCCTTCCCAGAGCACTTACCATGGCGTATTAAAATTTCTGTTCACTTTCTGTCTCTAGCTAGATTGCTTCTTGGGGGAAGGGACATGGTTTTGATCACCATTTTGTTCCTAGCATCAGCACAGCATCTGGCCCACAACGAGTGTGCAGTAAATATTGTCATATGAACGAATTAAAATTTTGATCCTCCTTCAAAATGGTAACGTGTAAGACTGTAAAACTCTTTTACATCAACAAAAAATAAAAAAAGACAGGTTCAGGAACTCACCATGCACAGTGGCTCATGCCTGTAATTCCAACACTTTAGGAGGCCAAGGCAGGCAGATCACTTGAGGTCAGGAGTTCAAGACCAGCCTGGCCAACACAGCAAAACTCTGTATCTCCTAAAAATACAAATATTTCACCATGTGTGGTGGTGAGCACTTGTAATCCGAGCTACTTGGAAGGTTGATGCAGAGCATCACTTGAATCTGAGAGGTGGAGGTTGCAGTGAGCCGAGATCGTGCCACTGCACTCCAACCTGGGCAATAGAGCGAGACTCCATTTCAAAAAAAAAAAAAAAAGACAAGTTCAGGAAGAAATATCACACTGTCTTTCTCTTTTAAAAGGTCAGGGGGAACTAAGCAGTTGTTTCAGAAGGCAGCCATACCCCTTGGGTCATGTCAGCAATTTACCATCTTAATTTCTCACTTGAGCAACAGAGAGTATAAGAAACATCTTCACATACTAAAAAAGCCTGGGGCTTGCCCTCCCCATTTGTCTGGGGGTGTGGCAACAGAAGCTGTCCCCTGAGGGTGGCTCTGGCTGATCAGGTGTCCTGGTAGGGCTGCAGATACCACTCTCCCCTACCCATGTAGCTGGGGTACCCCTGCCTTCACTGCCTACCATCAAGAGTGAGGTCTTTCTAGTCCCAATGAGGAATCTTAGATACAGGATAGGATCTCCCAACTCCCACCCCCAGCCAACCTGGCACACTCTCAGGCCAGGCAACTGGGCAGAGAGATTTCTACTCTGAAAATATTGAAATGGGGCTTATATCTCCACAAACCATGGGAATAATGCCTCACTAAATCGTAGACTACACACAGTTCTGATGTCACACACAGGTTAGGAGCCCTTTCTCAAAGCTGCTGTAATAAGCTCCTCCATGTGGGCATTGGGCACTGCCAGAGAAACCTCCCAGGAGCAGGCAATAGTTATAGGAGGTAGTCAAATGCCTAGGCAGATAGGGCAGGTCCCTGGTGAAAGCCCATCTCCAAGGTGAAGACAATTTAAAACCTAAAAACTGAGCTACAAGTTAAATCCTCCGACTGGATTGAGAGCCTGTCTTCCTATTTGGCATGTTTTCCTCTGATTGATCCCTACTCTTCACCTATTTTACATACACCTACTCTTTCCTAATAGGTTTTCTACACTGTCAGGCCTACCTTTGACTGGTGTCTTTGCTTTAACCTTTTTTGCATACTCACAAACCAATCAGCATGCACTCCCCATACTGAGTCCATAAAAAGCCCTGGACCCAGCCATACTGAGAAAAAAAACCAACCTACTGCAGGGGTGGGGGACCAACCCCCTTCCCATCCCCTCTCTGTTTAGAGCTGTTCCATCATTCAATAAAACTATTCTCCACCCATCCTCACCCTTCGACTGTCAGCAAATCCTCATTCTTCTTGAACACTGGACAAGAGCACAGGAACAGGAACCACACCAAATGAAAGTACAAACTACAATACTGGCAGGGTGGGGTGTGGCCGGGTGGGTGGGGTAGCAGGCCTGGAGGGGGGTGTTGCCGGCCAGAAATGTCCTGAGACCCTCTTCTTTGGTTTCTCTAGGAACAAGGACAGGACTCCAGGGATGCCCACACAGCCCCAAGCACACATATGCACCTGGCAAACAGACTCACAGACACATGCTCAACAGCACAGTGAAATCCAAATCCACAGACTGGACACTGCAAATCATATGTGACTGCAAGTGCACACACTCACACACACACACACACACACACTTTGAAGCAGGTGTCAGTCTCCAAGAAAAAGTGATGGACAGTCTGTCTCCCATATCCCATATCCTCTCATCTTTGGTCCACCTGGAGATGGCCTCAGATGAGCCAAGTGACACAGAGACGTGAGAGACTGAGGATGTGCTGAGGTGTTACCCAGTACTCTGGTAGTGCTATTACCCAATACAAAAATTGGTCTGAACATCAGATTTCAAGCAAGCGAGGGGCCCCAACAGAGGCTGGGAGAAGTCCTTGTGGAGGCTAAAGCAAATCCATGTTGGATGCAAATCCACCGTTTCAGCTATGTTGGCTTCTGAGCATCCCGGAAGGCCCCCGAGATTCCCAGGTTATCTATTGCTCCTTGTGTGAGAGCAAGCACTTACTGTAAATCTGACCCTTAGGTCAAACAACCTTGATGTTACCATACTTCAACTGTCCTGCGCATCCCTTCTGATGACCCTTCCCCTATGGTCTGTAAGCTTTGGGCCTGAGGGAGAAGCATGGGAAACCACAGGGAGACACAGATGTGGTTTCTGTTTATAAGCCCTTATTAAATGTTTTTTTCTAAGGAACTGGATGCGTCAGCCCGTAACCTGCAAAAGCATCTGGCTGTTTTCGGCTTGTAGAAAGAATCGATAATAAAATCTGCAAAATCTGCCAGCTGCCATGCTAGCAGGGGAAGGGTAGCAAACAATTCCACTCTTCAATTCGTAGGGGGAACCCGGGGGTTTTTAAAGAAAGGATCTGAAATGCAGAAAAGGCAAGGGGGAGGTTAGGAGGTGCCAGGTGCAGTGACTTGCTCTGGTGGTCCTCTTGAATTATTGTCTTATTTGGTGGAGGGGCTGGTGCAATCGCGGATCCTGCCAGGTTATAAATTAGTTATTCTTCAGCTGGGTATAGGTTCAATCCCTGAAGTAAGCTTTTATTGGAGAGAATTCCAGTGGTGTCTGGTCCCTATCAGGATGCAGCTCCTGAGGCATCCAAGGAAATATATGACCAGATAAGAGCATAGCGTGTGCTTAAAAGCACGTAAGTAAATAAACATGCATAAGGCACGGGATTACAGTATGGGACAGGAAAGGGAGGGAGGTTCACAGCACATCCTGAGGCTGTATTTTAAGATGAGAGGTTACATACAGGCAGTTTGTTTCAAAGTTATATCTTGACACCCAGAGCAGGGAGAGGAAAAAGAAAAGAAGAAAAAATAAATTTAAAACACAGTTTGAGGCCGGCCGCACCCCTGTAATCCCAGCACTTTGGGAGGCCAAGGCAGACGGATCACCTGAGGTCAGGAGTTCGGGACCAGCCTGGCCAACATAGTGAAACCCAGTCTCTACTAAAGACAAAAATTAGCCAGGCGTGGTGGCGTAGGCCTGTAGTCCCAGCTACTCGGGAGGCTGAGGCAGGAGAATCGCTTGAACCTGGGAGGCGGAGGGTGCACTGAGATTGCGCCACTGCACTCCAGCCTGGGCAATAAGCTAGACTCAGTCGCCAAAAAAAAAAAAAAAAAAAAAAGTCGCTGTTTGGGGCTCAGTTGCTAAGCTGCTGGTTACAAGCCTCTTTCTTGGGCCTCAGCTTCCTGGGACTTTGGGGGCAGGTCTGCATAACCTGCTTAGTCATGGACCCCCCTCCAACAATTAGGAGGGACTACTCAGTATTCAACCATCGGTGTCCTCAGACTCCCGATGCCGAAGCCCTGGGTCAACGCCAAGCAATACTCACACCCGCGTCCTCGGGCCCCTGCCCTCAGGCGCCTGCAACAACCTCCTCCCCACTCAGAGCGGCCGCGGCCACATCTTCAACGCCAAGCCGGTACGCCCGGCAAAGGCGGCTCTGACGCCCTCACCTCACCTTCCACACTCAGGGGCGAGGGTGTGCCTGGCCACCTGCTCCCCAACACACGCACACGCGCGCACGCACACACACACACGGCCGGAAGGGCTGT